ATCAGACTAAATAGGCTATGTATTCGATGCACATTTCTATAGAACCAGGTGTTATTCAAATTAAGTAAGTATATCCCATTGTCATCTTTACAGCACTGATTTCTTTATTTGGTCTATGGAAGAGTCTCCTTTATAATTAAACCAACCACTGTCATTTTTCTAAGAAAAATAAAACAATAAAATTATTTACATTTATTTTATCTTCCTAAACATTGATCATGAGGAGGTGTTATGTCTTTGCTAGATAGTTTTATCACACAGACATTATGTTAACATGCTTTAAATTGCTGCTTTGCAGGTCAATTTATTACTATTAAGAATGTATAAGATTCTCATTGTGACTAACAATATTTATAACTACTTACTATCAAAAGGAATTCAAGTCTGTGATAAATTTGCAATACACATAGTTGACATGTAAGTATAGATGTTTATATAATAATATAGATGCACCATGTTGACCTGAATACTACACCCAACTGACCTCAATTTTCATCTAAAGTCAAGTATGAAAGACTAGTAGTTTGATGAGCAGTGCTTTCTTTACCTCTGGTTCCTAGCAGCATAATTCAATTGACAGTCACGTTATCGTATTTACAAAGTGATCGGTGGGTTATAGTTTCACAAATTTGGCATTATTATCTCTGTAGTCAGTGGAGAACCTGTGGAAGGCTTAGAATAGAAACTCTACAATTATACTCCATAACTCTACAGCAATAATGTACGCTTGTTCTCATTAACAGTTAAAATGGCAATGTATCTGGTCTTCTTTTGTAGAGATGCTAAATCACTTGTAGAGTCCAGCCCATTTTTTACTATGTTGCAAAGTAAAATCCTCTCAATTAGATGAGAATAATATTTAGGCTGTCATACCATCTTCAGGGTGCTGTGCAGAAATAACCTCTGCCTGAAAGACTCAGCTGGGAGAGTAAACTAATGTTAAAATAGGGAACCACTGCCTTGTTTCTCTGCAACTGAGATGCACTGACTTCACCTAAGGAAAAGACACTTTGATTTTTTGAGTGGTTTAAAGTGGCTCCCAGGAGAGGAGACAGAATTTTCTGAAAGATCAAGTCACTGACTCTCAGCCACTAGGTTTACGTCCCTTCATCATTATGTATTCCACACACCTCGAGGAGGGCAGGATTGTAACAACTACCAGTGTGATGGCATTGCTGTCAATAGGCCTGTTTCCAAAGTTACATTATGATCTTGTCATTGAAGAACTCTTTCTACAAAGTAGTAATTGAATTTAAAGAGCAAAAACTTGGGTATCTAAAGGATAAAGATAAATTACAAAACTCAGAGTATAGGAGATACTAGTGTAAACCAGTTCCACAAAGCTGGCAAAAAATGTTGGGGGAAAGATGATACACAATTCACAGAAGGCTCAAAAGAGGAACAAGGGAACACTGCTCAGACTTTTCCTCTGTTAAACTTATTTTTTGTTATCCAATCACTTTATACTCAAGTCATGCGGTAGTAGTTATATATTACTATGTAACAAGTTACTCCAAAAGTCAATAATTTAAAATGCCAAACATCTCTTCCAACTAGAATACAAACTCCATTAAAGGCATCTGGTCTGTTTTGTTTCCTGTTATATCCCCAGAGCCTGGAACAACACTTAGTTTATAGCAGACGCTCAATTAAACTTTCTTTTTTTATAAACAGATGTCCCCTTTCTACCCCCATTGATTGCCTCCACTCCCCATCTACCCCACCCCCGGGCCTTCCCCAGACCAATGTCTGTGTCCATGAGTTATGCTTATAAACATGTAAGTTTTTTTATTAATCTCTCCCCGCCCACTCCCCCACCCCACCTTCCCTCTGAGACATTAAAATAAAGAGGCCGATTTTAAGATCTACTAGAAAGTGATGAGTATGATAGAGAAAGATACAGCAGGAGTCTGCAGGGGTGGGAGTTAGGAATGAAGATGACAGTTCTCCAACTGTTGGCTAGAAAAGTGCTATACGGAGGTGAAAATAAACAAATAAACAAAATAAAAACAGACTCACAGCCAGCCAAGAGGATGGGGTAGTGGGGGGAGTGAAAACGGTGAAGGGGTTAAGCAAAAACAAAACAAAAAGCACCTCATAGACAGGCAATAGTATATGGTCATTACTAGAGGGGAGGGAGGGAGGAGAGGGTAAGAGGGGGATAAATGGTGATGGAAGGAGACTTGACTTGGGATGGTGAACACACCACACAATATACAGATGATGTATTGTAGAACTGTACACCTGAAACCTGTATGATATTATTAACCAATGTCACCCCAATAAATTCAATTTTTTTTAGAAAGGAAAAAAATAAAATGACAAACGTCTCACAGTTTATGTGGGTCAGGAATACAGGCAAGGCTTAGCTTGGTGCCTCCGCCTCAAGGTCTCTCACAGGTGTGGGCCAGTGCTATGGTCTAATCTCCAGGTTCATTTGGAGGAAGATAAACTTCAAACTCACTCACCTGGCGGCTTAAAGGATTCAGCACCTCACTGGCTATTGGATTAAGGGCCTCAGCTCCTTGCTGACTGTTAGTCAGAGGCCTCCCTCAGTTTCTTGCCACATGCGCCTCTCTCCCTAAGGCAGCTCACAATATGACAGTGGGCTCTCTTAGAGCAAGCCAATGACAGCAAGGCAGAAGCCACTGTCTTTTTGTAACCTAACCTCAGAAGTGACATCCCATCATTCTTGCCATAGTTTGTTAGAAGCAAGTCATTAGGTTCAGCCCACAGTGAAGAGGGGATCACACAAGAGTATGAATACCAGGATATGGGGATCATTGGGGTCATCTTAGAAGCTACCAACCACATTTTCCCTTGCAAGCACAACAGAGGAATAAACACCAAAGCAGAAGGAAAATCAGAAAGGAGGGGAAGGGGAAAATGTCCCAGGATCTAACTATGTATGCCTTGAAGCTCTCTCTTTCTCATTCTCCCAAAATCCAAACATACAACATACCCTCTGATGAGGTGCTTTCTCCATAGAGTCTCATACCTGTCTCTTTTTCTCTACTTCATGGGAGCACCAAAGTTCAAGTCTTCATTTCTTCACACTATACTATCAATAGTGTAGCACTACTTTCCTAACGAGCTTCCAGAGTGCAATATACATCCTGGACATCAAGGCCAGGGTAATCTTCCTAAGTCATACTTTCTACTTATCCTTATGCTACAGAAAGCCCCTGTAATGGCTCCCCATTGTCAAACAAAACCCCAACTCTTTAGGCTACCATTCAGTGCCTTCCATAATTTGACCCAGGCCTGACTATACAAACTTATCACCCCCAACAGTAACCCACCATCCCAGGTAAACCACACTCAGCATCTAAATACACCACACTTATACACAGCTGGAAGCCTCTGCTAATACCATCATTTCTCCTCCCTTGGCAAAACCAGTCTTCACCTTACCATTATAAATCCTTCCCAATTTCCAAGATGCAAAGCATATCCCATTTTCTCAGTGACACATCTTCTGATCACTCCAAACTACATTTCAGTTCCTCCTATGAACAGGCGCAGCTCTGAGTCACGCATTTACCACCCTGGCCTGGCAGTCGCTGTCTACAAGTCTTATTTTCCCAAGGAGTTGATAAGTTTCATACCTCCCTCCTTCCACAAAGACCACCAGACTGCATCTCCCCAAAAACTGGGCTAGGTCTCATTTGTTTTCCTCTGCTGCAGGTGGCTGGTCCATTATAGGCAGTATTTGTTGGATGGATGGATGGATGGATGGATGGATGGATGGATGGATGGATGGATGGATGGATGGATGGGAGAGAGAGGGAGAAAGGAAGAGAGAGAGGGAGAGAGGTAAAGGGGAGGAGGGAGAGAGAGAGGGAGAGAGGTAAA